TCTCTCTCTCTCTCTCTCTCTCTCTCTCTCTCTCTCACACACACACACACACACACACACACACCCCTCTTTTTAACAACTTAAGAAGTTAAAATTACTAATTGCCTCCTTGCTAACATTCCCTTCTAATACAATCCATTAGAAGTTTGTAAGTATAGATGCTTACTCAAGTTTACAACAACTCTATTTGCTCTTGATGTCCTTTTGGAACCAGAGATAATCCCTCTAGAAAAGTTAATTAGACCTAGTGAATACCTGCCCCAATGAAGCAACCTACAATCAGGGACTGGGGCAGGGAAAAGACAGAATTCCAGACATATAACTCTTTTTAATAACTCCCCCTTTTTCTTTCTTCAGTTAAAATGGATTTCTGTTCCTGTGTGTTTGGTTCCTGATTAAAATCTAGTAAACAGCAATTTCTTCCAGAACCTAAGACCATGTTTCTACCCTTGGTAACTTCCTTAATATGTACAAAGTTCTAAACATAAAGTGAATTGTCATGGTGAAATTGACTACTTTTAGCCCTTAATGGGATCATTCAAAACAGGTAAGATTCTCTTACAATTACGACCTCTAACTGAAATTTCAGCCTTCTAGAAAGATTCTAATACATCACACAAAACATGACCAACTTTCAAAGGTACTTCTAGATTAGGAAGAACTCTGACATCTAAATATTTCAATTTTTATTTTCATAAAGCACACAGACTGCTCACTTTAATACAAAAAGCAGTCACTGACAGATATCAACACATGCAATATATCTGTTAATAATACTTTACTTAAAATAACTTTAACTACATTACAATGAATTTTACAAACTGCCTAAAAATCACTTTATTAAAACCCAGAGAAAATAGACCTAACTTTCTTCAAAATTCCTGAAGAAAGTACTTTTGCTTCCCTTTCTCTTCTTTTATTGAGTTAGAGCCAATACAAGAGTCCATTTTTCATGTTCCAGACAAACAGAAACATCATGCTTAATGTATATACTTTATCTAGTGTCCAACACAGTAGTCATTTAGCCACCCATGGCTAGGGAGGATGTGAAATAGGACTAATGCATGTATCAAATAGAGAACAGGAGTGCAGAGGAGTAAAATTTCTACTGTGCTGAGGAAGTTTCTCAAGATGCTTTAATTGAAAATACCCTACTTTGTGATTTCCAGATTCTTAATCCTGAAGCCTTAATTATAATCTGTTGCTTCGAGGATTTATAAAATGCAATCTAGTATTCCTCCTCTTAAAAGAAAATAGGTTTAACAATATTAATCATAGTTTGTAAGTGTTGATGCTTACAAGTTTACAACAACCCTATCAAGTAGTAAATTATTACTGTATTTATTTTACAGATGAGAAAACTGAGGCACAGTAAGTTTTACATGATTTGCTCAATATCATCTGGCTGTTAAAAGGAACACCTAGGGTCCAAAACCAGGCAGCCTGACTTAACCATGTCCTGAGCTTTACCACAGCTTAGGAACTCCATTTTAGTCATCCTGCAGAAACAACAGAAAAAGAAGCTAAAATTCATTTATAAAAACAGGTAAAATTCTGTCATAGAAATGGGCCCAGGAATGAGAAGTCTAAGTTATGTGTTAAGGTACACGGCAGGACAGGACAAGAGGGGTCAAAGTGGAAGAGTTTTACATATTCGTGCTCACACACTCTCACATGTACTTCTATCCCAGTTAACTACCTTCATAGCATTTTCCTCCACACCCTTGATAGAAGAGTAATATAGAACACAGGAATCATCTCAAAAGAGATAAAAGGAGAAAAGGGAAATTTGGTACCAATTTACTATCATACAATTTTCTCCCAAATGTCCCAAAGCTATAAAAGCGTTTCACTTTTCCATTGTATATCCTGTCTAATCTCATTTTAAAATCAAAGTTTCATGAATATGTTCCAAAGGCTTCCTTCACCTTGAATTTTATTTATTTTTGACACTATTTAAAAAAGAGAAGGAAGAATATTGGTAAGTACTATAAGCAAAACAGCAGTACAAAATTAAACTTGGCTTTACAAGTAAAATGCCAAATGTCTGTGAACAGAGAGTTAAATCTCATATTACAGACCTTAAAAAACTTCATTAAAGTGAGGCTTGCCATCATTAAACAAGAAGATTACAATATTTCTTTTTTAGGGTTACAGAAAGATTAGGAACTAGATAACCTCTGGAGACTCACATAGTATTGTATATCTACTGACCAATCCAGAGAGGCAAAGATGGGGTAAACAGAAACCTTTGACTTTTTCAATGCAGCTGCCACATACCCTTTGACTACTTTCATAAAACATCAATATTTAATGTACATTCTTAATATGCATCTAAATGTCTTCTCATTCAGTGATTCTAAAGAGCATCTGTTTTTATTTTCTTTCAGTCGACACATTTGTGATATTAAAGATAAAAGTTTGTGATAGTAAAGATAAGTTTCACCTAAGTGTAAATGCACCATGCAAATAACATCCCATTCTATTCCCTGCCTCACTAAACAGTTAACAAAATCTTGTAAATTATTATTTACATGCTCATCATTCTGTTTAATACAACATTTTTTTAAAAAAATCATTTCATCCGTATAGACCATGCACTGCTCTAAAGGGGAATGGAATTCAATTTAGAGTCTCATTCCTAAAGTCCAGGAAGAAAAAAAAAAAAAAAAAGGAGAGAAACCCAGACATCTTCCCAAATGGATTCTTGAGATGATAGCTTTTAGTAATAAAGAAAAAATTTTTCCCTCTCTTTCTTCAATAAGGATTTATATTATTTAAAGTACTTTTAAAAGTAAAAATTGTCAAGTTTAAAAAACTCTCAATTGCATTTAGGGAACAAGAGTTCCTTTATTTTGAAGTATATGTTCTCTCTGATTGTATTATTAAATTATTTTCAGGAACAATTTTCTGCATTAACATCAAACTTCATATTCCTAAAATATATCTTTATGGTTGGCTGGTCAAAATACTCATTTGGAAAGGCTTAAATCATCCATGAATACTTATACACACCCATCCCTGCTACTTAAGAGGCTGAAGCAGAAGGATACAGCCCAGCCTAGGCAACTTAGCAAGGCCCTGTCTCAAAAATAAAAAATAAAAAGGGTTGGGGATAGCTAAGTGGTAGAGGTAGAGTGCCCCTGGTTAAAAAAAAAAAAAAAAAAAAGGATAAAAACAGCAATCCAAAGAATGATGATCTTCTGCTAAAATTAATAACACAGGTTTCAATGCTTAGAATAATTTTGAAAAAGATGCATGGTCACTAATTACATTAGTTGCATATTACACAAAAAATAATTTACAAATAAAAATCTACCATCCACCCCACCCTTAGTATCCTGCCCACCAGAAAAAAAATGGACCTATAAAAATGTTTTATGCTGACTTAAGTATATCTTCAAGCACTTCAGATTTTAAAAAATTAAGTTCTATGCCCAGTTACATGGTTACAGGCTTAATTCTCTACTCACACAGTTGAGGTTGATGAGCAAACAGCTGTCCTGTATCTTGAGACAGACATTAGCTTCCTGCCTTCCCTATTCTCATAAGCAGCTACTTAAAGTTTGAGTTTTATGCAAGAAAACATTTTAAAGCCTTCAGTGTTTTACTGCAGCAGACTTCAGATTCATTCCTGTAACACATTTAACATGAAACAGAATTGAGACAGTTGAAATTTATCAGGTACCACATTTTAATCATCTAAAATCTTAAGGAGTGCTTTCATTATTAAAGCTATATAAAAATGGATGAGTTAAAATTAAAAATAAAACCTTCCATTTGGTATTCAACACTAATGTAAAAATGTAACAAATATAACTTTAACCCATGGATTTTTTTTTTTTTTTATATCCAGCCACAGGGTTGGTAGGCAAGGAGCTTTTCTTATAATCATTTGCATACAAAGTAAAAGTAGACATTTTTCTATTTTCCTAAACCTTAGCTAGTTTTTTAAGAAATAATTAGCAACAAAATTAATAACACCTTTATAAATAGTAGAGTGTCTCAGTGTCCCAAGTATAACCCTGTTATATCTCCTAACAGAAGGAGCTATATTTTTCATATCTATCATAAAGGTTTATGAAAGTACATTTCCCTACAAATTCAAATTTCTATAGTACTATTATTGCTTCAGATTAATCAAGTGGTAGAAGGGTTCTCTAAAAATAAGCATTTCCATAAGAAATATTTATCCTAATCAAACTGAACTTTCAAAACAAATCATAAACAAACAAACAAACAAAAAACCCCCAAAGATTTAAATACTAGGAAGTAAGGGTTAGGGACGAAGCTCAATGGTAGAACATTTGCTTAGCATGTTCAATCCCCAGAACCACATACACAAAATAAATTTAAGTATCAATAGGATAAAAATCTTTATTTCTAGCCTGGTGTGGTGGTACGTGCCAGTAACTCCAGCAACTCAGGAGGCTGAGGCAGAAGGATTGTAAGTTTGAGGCCAGCTTTAGCAACTAAGAGGGGCCCTAAGTAACTTAGTGAGACGACCTCAAAATAAAAAATAAAAAGGGCTGGGAATGTAATTCAGTGATAAAACACTCCTGGGTTTAATTTCCAGTACCAAATAAATAACTAAATATACAAGTAAATAAATAATTTCTCTATGCCATTAACAAATACATATTATACAGTCACAATGATAGTCCATACTTCCAAAGTAAACTGTAAAATGATTTTAATTAACTTAAAGGATTCACTTTTTTTTTAAAGTTATACTCCCCAATAAAAATGAGGTGCCATTTAAAAATTTGTCATGGGTTATTCTTAATAGCCTTAATGTTTATATTCTTAGCCAATCTAATTTTTAAATAATATTTTAGCACTATTACTATATGTAAACTTTAGTGCAAAATTAACTGCATCAGAAAACTACAGACAAGGAGAATTTTCGTCTTACATGTTTCAACAGTTTTTCTTTTTCACCTGTATTTTTCCCTATAATTGTAAGTAAACTTTAGGAGATATTTGTATACTTCAATAAAAATGTCCTAGAAAAACCATATGATATCTTTTTCCCTACATGTACACTGACTTCAATATGTGTGTTTATATTGACCTTAATTTCTATAGTAAATTTTGGGAAAAGCTTTAAGATTTTGTGAACATAGTAAATGTACTATTTATACTAGCAACATGGTTTAAAAAAAACACCAGGAAAAACAGCATCTAAACACTCTAATTTCAATAATTAAAAAGTATTATTGAATTCTGAAAATACTACATATGTGCTGTGCTATAAAGTAACCAAATGTTTTAGAGTTTATTCAAAATAACAAACATTTCTTTATAATCTACTCAAACTGTGCAAATATAAACAAAAGATTTAAGAACTCAACATCTCATAAAAGTTGTTAACTTGATATAATATCTTTCATACAAAGAATTACATGAACACTTAATCCTTACTCCACCTAAAAAGCAGTTGGTATAATTACCAACTCTTTACAGATTATCAAACTGTGAGGAGTTTGTTCACAGAGCTAGTTAAGTGACATAGTTGGGACCTGGCCAGATCTACATATCTTTAAAACCTGCACACTTTAGCATCAAGCTAGATTATAGGCAAATAGTGATCTGTTGTATTGATAGATCAAATCACATCTAGAATTAGTATGTGGAATAGGGTATCAGATGCTAAATATGAAACTGATAACTGAGTGTTTTATAACAGAATGGTTATAAATTCAGAAAAGCCATCTCTTATAAAAAACAACTTCATGCAATATGAGTGATATAGAGAAAAGGCAAAGGGATATATTTTAAAGAGATGTTAAAGAAGGAAAAGAGAAGCTGGTTTATTTCACATGCCACAAGAGTTCTCAATGCAATTATAGCCAGGCATGGTGATGCACACCTGTAATCCCAGCTAGTTGGGAAGTTGAGGCAGGAGGACAGCAAGTATAATGTTATCCTGGGCAACTTAGGGATACCTGGTATCAAAATAAAAAATAAAAAGTGCTGGAGTTGTAGCTCAGTGGACAAGCACCCCTGAGTTTAATTTGCAGTGCTAAATAAATAAATAAACAAAGGAACTTACATGAGCTATCTGAATTGTTATCTCAATAAAGTTGTCAAACAAACCCAAAATAATGTATTCTGGTTAAATATTCAACACTTCCTAATGCTAAGGAATACAACAAAAGGAACAGGTTACTGTCTATAGTACTATGAAGCTTGTGTATGGAATATCTGAATTAATACCATCAGAGTAATAACTGACTCAGGCAAAATTACCAAAGTATGTTAAATACTTTGTGGATAAAAGTTTGATGAGAATTGATAAATGTCCAGTTTCAAAGTACCTCTCCACAAATTACTGATTACAAAAAGAAAAATAACTTTTAAGTGGAGGAACTTACAGATATCACATTGATCAGATCAAATTTAGTATTAACTGATAATGAGACAAGAGGAAATGTGCCTCCTAAAAGGATACAGTGAGAAGCATACACTTAAAACGTAATATTCCTGTCAGAACTACATTTCCTAAATTTAGTAATGAACACAGTGATGAAACCAAATTGAGGAAATTCTACAAATAAGTGGTTTATCACTCTCTTTAAAAGTGTTAATGTCATTAAAAACCCAGAAAGACTGAGGAAATATTCCTGATTAAAGAATAGTAAAGAGATGTGACAACTAAAAGCAATGAATGATCCCAAGTTGGACTGAAGAAAAGTTTTATTAAATAACATTATTGGGAAAACTAGTGAAATCCTCACTGGATAACATCAGTTTACATTTCCTTAATTTGATAAGATAATATTGTTGTATAAGAGAATGTCCTTGTTCTTAGAATCTGTTTGTTGACTACCTATCATGCAGAGGCCCTTGGTTCCATCCCCAGCACTGGGGGGGAAAAAACATTTTCTTGAGGAGTACATTTTAACTATTGGTATTTGCATTTTTCTTGAGGATTACATTTAACTAACTTTAGCTGGTATTGCACTTTGTTACTGCTTTGTTCAGAATGTAACACTGATCTAATGCTTTAATTAATAAATTTAATCTTTTTCATTAATATGAAAAAAATCTAAAATTGGAGTATTACTTTTACATAGCAAAGGGATATGATGCATGTAACTTATTCTCAAATGGTTCAGAAAAAAACAATCTGACAGTGAATGACAGAACAAATGGTAAAATGTCAACAATGGTGCATCTTACTCTGGTATGTAGCAATTATTTATATTATTATTATAACTTTCTATAACTTAAACTACTTCAAAATAAAACCTGAAAAATATTCAAACCCAATATTTTCAAACATTCTGAATATCTAACAATAACAAAACCAAATTTCATATCTTATATCCACATTCAAACTATCATCTAATAGAAGTATAAACCTATTTATGATTATCTAGTCAAAGAATAAGAAGAAATGGTAGTCTGGTTTAAAACATCGAATATGACTACATTCCACTGATGACAGGTGTGACTCACCAATCTGAGTTAGATCAATGTCTGTCTCCCAACCATATCACATTATTGCAACCTTCTCAAAACTATACTGTTAAAAAAACAAGCTTCTCCACCAGAGCACTCCTCCTCCCCTCCCATTTTAATTGGGAATAGAGTAGGGGAATTTGTCTCCTAGCTGAAAACTCCAAATTAAGTTAATTTCTGGTTATGCCAGGTAGCAATGCAGAACAAAGCAAGAGCTAATGAGTAATCAATAATGTACACAGAAAATATTACAACAAACCTCTCACCCTAAACAAAAGTCTATCCTGCCAATTAAAAGTTGTGGAAGCACACATTCATTACAGAGCACCTGGAAAAGAAAGACAAGATAACAGAATGTTAATCATTGAGAGACTAACATACATGGATAATATACAAATATTTCAGTGGCAAAAACAAAAGAGTAGAATTAAAAGAGGGAGGGAGGGGCAGGGGTGTAGCTCAGTGGTACAGTATTTGCTTAGCATGTAAGAGGTCCTGGGTTCAATTACCAGCATCAAAGTGGGGAGGGCAAGTGGGAGAAGAGAATACAAAAGAAAACATGCAAGAAACAAGAAAATTCTCATGGTCACACATCACACAATTTGGAGTTATCCTTCTATTCCAATGGTTAAAACATTTTCTTTCACTTTTTAATTTATCTTCTCTTCTACCTATTATCTCACCTAAGAGTCCATCTTTGTAACACTGTGAGCACAGCTATGGTCAAATCTTATGCTAACACTCAATTTTTAAAATATATTTTTAAACTCATTGAGAGGCCCAAAAAGCACTCTACTAGAAAATTCTCACAAAAAAATTCACATTGGAAAAAAGTAACATCTGACAGAGGAGGAGAGAGGTTAAGGAGGAGTCAGGGCTGGAAAAATGTGACCTGGGAAGAATGCGATGAATTTTAGCTTCCTATATTAATTTGGATAGATTGCTGAAACCTGATGAAAGATAGCAAACTATGATTCTATATTTGCTGGTACTTTAGCTAATTCTAGGCTGTGAGATTAATTGCTGAGCTGTGTCCTTCTTTCAGGTAGGATCTCTGTCGGATTAATCTTTATAAATCCACAGTATCGAACACTGCCTTGATTAAAGAAGGCATTTTAATAGGTTCTTGTAGAATGCCCAATTACAAAACAAGCAAACTATTTTATTCCAACCCAATCCCTGCCTTATTGTCCATTTTCTCAGGTAGTGTGTTGTTCACTCTTCACCCCTGCCAGAACCATCTGCTTTGCAAATTTTTCTCACAAAAGTTAAACTGCAATTCTCTGATTGCTGCAGGTAGATGATGTTGTAATAAAAGAATAACTCATACTACTGGGCATGGTGGCTCATTCCTATAATCCCAGACACTCAGGAGGCTGAGGCCCTGTCTCAAAATAAAAGTTAAAAAGGGTTGGGGATGTAGCTCAGTGGGTTCAATCCCCAATACTGGAAAACAGCCAACCAAAAAAACAAAAACCTTATACTGAATGAAACTTGACCAATTCAACCCCCAAATTTAGGTCAAGTTAAACCTAAAATACAAAATTTAAGAAATATAGAACACACAGGTGTGTATACATACATAATATATTTAGGAAGACAAGGAGCTTAACTTCTGAATTGATGTTTATACCTGTACTGCCCAAGGCAATTACAACATCCTCACAAGAGTCAGCAAATACAGCTTAAGCTTTCATTATTAGTCAAATTAACATGGTCTAATTACTCTTTATATCATTAAATAAATTTTAAAACAGTAAAATTAAAAAAAAACATTGTCATATAGCTGAACATCTAGCAAATCCCAAATTTTGATCTGTAGCTTCTTCTGTATTTCCCTTACCTTAAATGGCATTAACTCCTATTCCTGAGAATAAAGAAGATAGCATAGAAACATAGAAAAAGGCTCCAGAAGGGCTGGGGATGTGGCTCAAGTGGTAGAGCACACACCTAGCACATCCGAGTCCTGGGTTCAATCCTTAGTGAAAGGAAGGAAGGAAGGGAGGAAGGGAGGGAGGGAAGGAAGGAAGGGAGGAAGGGAGGAAGAAAGGTATTATGTCCAACTACAATTGAAAAATAAATACTAAAAAAAGAAAGAAAAAAAAAAGAAGAAAGAAAAAGGCTCCAGATTGAAAAAGCTGAGTATAAGGTAGAAATACTATGGAGTAGGGAGTTGCAAGTAGAGTCAAGATTGCACTAGCCCATTTAAAACTAGCACATTTTTGCAAACAAAAGTTTTAGGTAAGAAATGCCATTTAAGGAGGTTTAGTTAATGGAAAAGGTAGTAGTAGCTTTTGTGAGGGTGGGTTAAAGATAGTTAACATCTGTGGATTCAGTTCTTTCCCCCTTTTGGTTTAACACACTTTTCTATCCTTCCTACCAAAACTAAGAAACATTATATTTAAAGTAAAACAAAGTTCACACTCCTAGGTATTCATTTACACAAGTCATACAAAGACTTGTACAGAAATGTTCAAAATGACTTCATTTGTAACAGCAAGAACTAGAAACCCAAATATACATCAAAAGGTAAATGGGCAAACAAATAATGATATAGCCACACATGGAATAATATCAGCAATAAAAAGGAATGTGTTGAACACATCATGTGTTAATCTCCAAATTATTACATTAAATGAAAGCAAAAAGAAACAAAAGACTATATAATGTATATTTCTATTTACATGAAATGTTACAAAAACACAACTATGACAAGAGAGCAGATCGGAACCAGAGTAGGAAGATGGGATTTATTCCAAAGTAATTACAAGGAAACTTTCTGAGGCAATGAAAATGTTTTACATGACTACAGTTGTTAGAAAACCATGCAAGCCAAAACTAAAATTGTATACTTTTCCTCAAAGCTGATTTTAAAAGACCAAAAAAGTATAGGAGCAGTCAAAAGTCATTTGATTCAAACTATTATTCTAAATTTATAAGCACAGACACCTAAGCCTATGCTGGGTAAAGATTGTTTTATCTTTCCAGATGTTTAAATGTTTTTATTAATGGCAAATAAGTTGTCCATTCCTTCTTATCCTCTTCCTCATTGGTTCTATGGACATAGCTCTCCTAATCCTCCACACTTTGTCATACAACTTACGAAGGTAAAGCTTTACTAAGTTTGTGTGATACACCAAGGAAAGCCATAATAACTGATAATCCAGATTCTGCAAATTTTAGTTTCTCACCAGGCAGTTTTGAATTTTTATAATACCTAAAATAATTTTCTAAATAATTGTCCTCATTTAGCTAGAAAAGAAGCAATTTCCCCCCCCCCTTTTTTTAACCTTTTCTCTACGTACACCCCCCACCCCCACCCCACACTGGAGATTGAACCCAGGGCCATCATGTTTGCTAAGTATACCTTCTATTGCTGAGCTATAACCTCCGCTGTTTTGATTTTTTAAGACAAGGTTTTGCTAAATTGCCCAAGCTGGCCTTGAATTTGTGATCCTCCTGCCTTGGCCTCCAAAGCTGCTAGGATTACAAAATGTGTACCACCATGTCCAGCTCTTTATCCACTTTTTATATCATTTTAATATCTTGAAAAAGGTTTCATATCTTGAACAAGATCAACTTGGATTATATTTTAAATACTAAAATGGTTTGTTTTCTTCCTTCCTTCTGTTCAGGAATCAAACCCAGGAGTGTTTTACCACTGAGTGAATTTTTTTTTTTTTTTTTTTTT